GCGGGAGTCCAGGTCTCATAGTTTCTCAGGTGAGTAATCTGAGCCTTTGTCATAGCAAACTGACTAGCTTTGTGTCCTATTTGGGTTAATAGCTTATCCGTGGTCGGCAAACCACGGCTCACGAACCACATGTGGCTCTTTGGCGCCTTCAGTGTGGCTCTTCCACAAAATACCATGTGCGGGCGCGCATGTACAGTGCGATTGAAACTTTGTGGCCCATGCGCAGAAGTCGGTATTTTGTGGAAGAACCACACTGAAGGGGCCAAAGAGACGCATGTGGCTCGCGAGCCACAATTTGCCAACCACTGGCTTAGGTTATTTGTTTAGTGATTCATTTAAGAAAGAAACAACTGCAAATGTGCACATCTCATTTACTAGGCTTGTTATAAGGTAAACTTTCATAATGCATGCATTATTCATTTCACCTTGTTTTGAACCTAACTGTATAACCTAGAAAAATGAGGCAGACTTCTGTGTATTTAACTTTATAGTTGCTATGATTTCAGCTCTAAGTGTTGAGTGTTATGATAAAAGCTTTAGGATAGAGAAAAATATATACATGAAAATGTATTATAAATTTATCATATTGATGAACTGACATGCTGGCAATCAAAAGATGCAAAACACTTTAAGCTAAAGGAAGTGAATTACAAAATAATGGAAGTCTTTTCATTTCTACTCTTTTAGGGCACATGAAATGAATTAATACAATGAATTAATATTTGTTATATACATAGAACAATACCCGATACATATAAGTGATTATTAATTAAACAAAATATATAACTGATATTTTGAACTTCTGGTTTTAAAACCTGTGCTCTTCACATTGCCCCAGTATACTGCCTCAAAAAGTAATCCAGGACCAATGTAGTTCACATATTTTTGTATGTTTGTGGCCATTATCAGTTCTGTTTTAAGAAGGAATGTTGTCTAGAAAGTGTTTCATCCTTCTTTCTTTATGCACTGCCAATGGATTAAATAAGAAATCACAAGTGGCCCTGACCGGTTTGGCTCAGTGGATAGAGCATCGGCCTGCGGACTGAAGGGTCCCGGGTTCGATTCCAGTCAAGGGCATATACCTTGGTTGCAGGCACATCCCCAGCAGGAGGCAGCTGATCGATGTTTCTCTCTCATTGATGTTTCTAACTCTCTATCCCTCTCCCTTCCTCTCTGTAAAAAATCAGTAAACTATATATACAAAAAAAAAAAAAGAAATCACAAGTGAAATTAATAAATACTAGAGATAAATGAAAACAAGACCAGAACCTACCAAAAGTTATGGGATACAGTCGAAGCATTGCTAAGGAGAAATTTGTAGCTATTAATGCTTTAAAAATGTGAAAGATCTCAAACAAACAACCTAACTTTACAACTTAGAAAACTATAAAAAGAAGAACAAAGTAAACCCCAAGCTGCTAGAAGGAAGGAAATAATGAAGATTAGATCAGAGATAACTTACATCGTGAATAAAAAGAGTTTGTTTTTAAAAAGACCAGCAAAATTGACAAATGTTTAGTTGGACTAGGAAAAAATAAAGAAGATTCAGATTACTAAAATCAGAAATGAAAGTGGAGATAACACTACTGATTCTGTAGAAATACGGAGGTGTATAATACAGTATGATGAACAATTGTGTGCCCCCAAATTGGACAACCTTGATGAGATGGACAGATTTCAAGAAATAACTTACCAGTGCAGCCACTGTGGAAAACAGTATGGAGTCTCCTCAAAAAACTAAAATGGAACTGCCCTATGATCTAGCAATTCCACTTTTGGGAATATAGTGAAAGAAACCCGAAACACTGATTCAAAAGAATATATGCACCTCAATGTTTATTGCAGTGCTAGTATTAATAGCCAAAATTTGGAAGCAGGCCAAGTGCCCATCAGTAGGTGAGTGGATAAAAACGTTGTGGTACATTTACACAATGGAATACTACTCGGCCATAAAAAAAGAAGGAACCTTACCCTTTGTGATAGCATGGATGGACTGGAAGAATATTATCTAAGTGAAATAAGCCAGTCAGAGAAAGACAAATACCATATGATTTCACTTATATGTGGAATCTAATGAACAAGACAAACAAAATAGAAATAGACTCATAGATACAGAGAAGAGACTGAAAGCTGTCTGTCAGAGGGGAGGGGTTGGGGGGCTGAGTGAGATAGGTGAAGGGATTAAGCAAAAACAGAACAAAACAAAACAAAAAAACCCCACACACAAAAAACCAAACTCAGACCCAAACAACAGTATGGTGATTACCAAAGGGAAAGGGTGGTGATGGAGGTAGAAGAGAGTAAAGGGGGGATAAATGGCTATGGAAGGGGAAGACTCTGGGTGGTGAACACACAATAAAAATAAATGATGTATTGACCAATATAATTTCATTGACCAGTGTCACCCAATAAAATCAATAAATCACAAAGAAAACTGAACAGACCTGAAACAAGTGTGGAGATTGAATCAGTAATCAAAAATCTTTCAATGAAGAAAAGCCCTGGATTTGACAACATAATTTGTGGATTCTATCAAGAATTTGAAGAAGTAATACCAGTTCTGCTCAAACTTTTCTAAAAGACTGGAGGGGAGGGGAGGATACTCCCTAACTCATTCCAAGAGGCCAGCATAACCCTAATACCAATGACAAAGACACTACAAGAAAAGAAAACTATAGGTCAATATCTATTCTAGAGGTATAGATTAAGAATAATTTTTTTTTAGTACAGTTTATTAACAGTTAAATTTTAAAACTTAATTTTTATGAAAACTTAATTTGGAAGAATTTTACTCTTAATACATGTTCTTTTTTTTCTCTGGACCACTTTATTGATATACTTCTTTTTTATTTTTATTTTTTAAAATCTTTATTGTTGAGATTATTATAGATGTCCCTCTTTTTTCCTCCTGTTGCCCCCCTCCACCCAGTTCCTGCCATGCCCCAGGCCTTCACCACCCTATTGTCTGTGTTCAGAGGTACTGCATATATGCATATAATATCTTTGTTTAGTCTCTTCCCTTCCCTCTGAGAATCGTCAGTCTGTTCCATTTCCATGCCTCTGATTCTATTTTATTCACCAGTTTATTTTGTTCATAAGATTTCTTATTCATTTATTTTGATTTTTAGATTCAATTGTTGATAAGTATGTATTTGTTGCCAGTTTGTTGTTCATATTTTTGATCAGTGTATGCTTAATTTCTGACTGGTCCTATTCCATTTTTTTTGGAGGTTTCTAGAAGATTCTTGAGTAACCTTATAATCGTAGTTTTAAACTCTATATCCAGTAGTTTGCTTTCTTCCATTTCTTTCATTTCTGACATGTTTCTTTGTCTCTGCATTTTGACTGCTTCCCTGTGTTTTTTTTCTGTGTTTTGAGTAGAGCTGCTATAGCTCCTTGAGTTGGTAGAGTGGCCTTGTGTAGTAGGTGTTCTATAGGGCCCAGTGGCTCAGCTTCCCCAGTCACCTGAGCTGGAAGCTCTAAGTGCACCCCTTTATGGGCTGTGAGCACAATCTTGTTGTAGTTGAGACTTGATTGCTGTTGGTGTCACTGGGAGGAATTGATCTCCATGCCAATTGGCTGTTGGACCAGCTATGACTACAGTGGGAAAGCTGCTGTGCAGGAGACATCCCTATGGAGCAGGACTTGCTTCAGTGGGGCTTTGGTGCTCACTGAGTCTGCCCCTTGAGTGTGTTGCTTATGGATGTGTAGAGTTATTGTCTGGTATGGTCTGACACTGACCACTGGGTACACTGGCTCTTGGGTCTCCCAGGAGGTACAAAGTCAGCAACTACCTGAGGCCACCCAGCAGGAGCTACAGAGAGATCTGCAGATTCCTCCTCTTTGTATTGGGTTTGGAAGTGCCCAGATGAGGCCCAGCTATGAAGCAAGGCAGGCTGGTCCTGGTGTAGGTCTTGGGCCTTTTATTGATAGGTTTGGGGCTCCCTGACCCAGCTGCAGCTTGTTTCAGAGTTTAGCCTGAGCAAGGACAGGCCATTCATATGCAAAAGCAGCTGCACACAGCTTGGGTGGGGTTGTAAATTGGATGAGGTGGGGTCTAGGGAGTCACCAGGGTGGAGCAAACAGAAATGGCTGCCAGTCAGCCCTGTGACTGGGGAGGTCCCAGAATAGGAACAGTGATCCCTGCAAGCACCTTTGTCTGGGAGAAAGCTGCCCCAAGTTCCTGCCCTGATGCCAGATAATCCAGTTCCTCCTCATATGTGTCTGTGTCCCCCAAAGCCAAGCCCTGGTGCTGGAGCTCAGAGGAAGCAGGACCTTGTAAGTTCAGTTCATAGTGCTAGCCTTTTAAGAGAAACAGCTGGGTTTCCAGCAGCCTCTGTGTCACTAAGCCCTAGTCCGCACTGGTTTTTACAACCTGTAGTTCTTACTGCCCGTAGGGACTTCTATTCCAAGCTCTGGGACCCTAGGCTGGGTGTCTGGTGTGAGGCTGGGAGCCCTTGTTTCGCCGGTGTCCTCCATAGAGATAATCTCCCTCCTGATTAAAAAAGCAGCACATGTGGGTGCCCGACCAGCCTGTTCTGCACCTCTGCACCTCCTACTCATTTCAGTATGCTTTCTTCTTTACTTCTCTAGTTGTAGGACTTCCATTCAGCCCTGGATGATGGTTGTTCTGTATTTTAGTTGTAATTTTGATGTGGTTGTGGGAGGCGGCAAGTTCAGGCATTTACCTACGCCACCATCTTCAAATCCCTAATATGTGTTCTTAATATCTATCATAGTGAAAAGCGTGGGTTTCTTTGGGAGTGGTATTATTGTAAATATTGTGTAGGGGTAGGGCAAGTAGAAAGGGTGGACATATTTTTTTTTTTGAGTTCTATAAAACCATATTGTTTGAGTGTTCTTTTTAAAAGCAATGAGTATATTCCCCTTTTATTAAAACGATAGAAAATATTTTTAAAACATGTAATGAGACAAATGTAAACTTTTAAAGATGTCCTCATAGTTATACTCATGTGTGCTTTTATTAATTTTGGTTCTAGGCTTGTGTGGACGTCAGATCCAGTTCAGTGTTTTGGCAGCAGCTGGAACTTGCAGATACCCTCTTTGGTCACCCCAACGTGCCAGAATGGTTATCCACACACCCTTCTCATGGAAACCGAGTTGAGCAATTGGATAGACTCATACCCGAGGTGAGCTAACACTATTGAAGGCAGGACACTATTTTTACTGTATCCTTTATTTTTTAATGCTGTTACTTCTCATGCTTAGAGAAGGAGTTCTAGTTTGTCAACTATTTTGATGACTATAATTATGAATTATCAGTTTTCAAAGGATTTGACTGAAGAGTAAAATCCTGCATGTTCGCAAGTCATGGGGGATAAATTGCTGTGTAGACTTGACTTTTCTTGAAGGTGAAGGTTTAAGCTTTTTAGTATCATTCCTTTTAATTTTACCAGATTTGGTGAAAGTCTAAAACTCATGGTATGTTTTTTCAACATATTGGTCATAATTTAATTTTTTCTCAGTGATTTAAGCTTATTGTTAAAAAACAAAAATAACAAACTCCAGTTAATGACTTGTGTAAAAATTTTGGGTCAAGTGAGTATTAATTACAATAATGATGCTGGAATATTTCTTAGAAAAAAAAATCCCTTGATATTAGTTTTTTTTCAGGTTGTTTATTTCTTTAAAAAGAGAGAGTAAAGTGTGCATGACTTTTTTTCTGTAGACTTCATTAATGAATAAAGCTAAAGCAGCTTTTCCCCAATTAGTTTTTACTACCATCTAAACATGTTTTTATTTGTTAACATAATTTAAAATGTTTTCTGTGGTATCCACTTCAGTGTGAGATGTATGTCAGATATCGCCAAACCAGGCTGCGCACTCTTTCTGTCTCACTTGCTTTGCCAGGATGACTACAAATTTAACTTGACAGATAGTGAGCACCTGTTATAAGAAAAAAATACTGGTAGATACAGGGGATACAAAGAGAATTAAGACACGGTTTTTTATATTTGCAGGATGCTAACATAAGTACAAAATGATTCTTAATACAATAAGGGATAGGATTTATTATAAGAAAAGTAGAAATATAGTGGTATGCAATTTGAAGGAATAGCCTGCATCTATTTTGGGATAATAAACTACCGGGAGATTCATTTATTGATTCATGTGATTTATATGGAAATCCACTGATAGTTTGCCATTCTGTATTCTGTTGCTGGGAACAATACAGTTTCTGCTTTCTTGGAGCTAACATTCATGTCAATGCAAGTAATAAACAAACATATACATACATACATGCAGTATGTCACGCAGTGATAAACACATTGGGGAAAAATAAATCAGATTAAAGGTAGTAAAGAGAGCTGGGCAGCAGAGAACGCGTGCTGGTCTACGTTCCTTTGTCAGAAAAAGCCTTACCTAACAGAAGCTGGAAAGAAGCAGCGGGCCAAGTCTGTGGCTATCTGGAGAGAGAGTCTTCCAGGGTGAGGAGGCAGCAAGTGCACAGGACCTGGAGGGAGAGTATGTGTGGTGTGTTCAAGGAATGGCAAGGAGCTGAGTGAGTCAAGGAGGGGGTGGGGCGATGGTTGAGGTATAGGGGGATCAGATCATGAAGACTCTTTTCTAAACCATTGTAAAGACTTAACTTTTATTCCAAGTGATATCGGAAACTAGTAGAGGGTTTTGAGTAGAGCAATGGTTTTTCAACCTTAGCTGCACATTAGAATCACCTGGGAATCTTTTTAAAATCCTGATTTCTGGGCCCCATCCTCCAGAAATTCGGTTTCTTTGTTACTAATGTTGTGGCCCCACCCCATAACAAAGAAACAGAATTTCCAGAGGATGAGGCCCAGAAATCAGGATTTTAAAGAGATTCCCAGGTGTTTCTAATGTGCAGCCAAGGTTGAGAACCACTGGACTAGAGGAATGACTTGATCACCTGATCTGACTCATGTGTTCTGTGGTGGTCATGGGGACTGTAGTGGGGCAAGGGTGGAACCCAGGAGACTCTTTACAAGGCTCATGCAATAATCCTGTTAAGATAGTATAGAGGCAGAAGAGAGGAAAAGAAGTGCTCAGATTTTGAAAGGAATGATGAGGATTTGTTGCTAGTTTGGGCATACTTGTGGCCTTTCATGGGCATTGGGGCCAGCCAGACATGGATTCTTAAGAAATATCCTAAATATATTTCATTTATACCCTTAATTTGAAGAAAAAATATTTGAGAAAAAAAAAACACAGCAGTGACATTTACTTGATGCATTGTAATTATCATTCATCTTAAAAGCACAGTACAGGACTGGAAGAATATGGGTTTCATCCGTAACTAATTTGTCCTGAAGATCACTGACTCTAAGCCTTTGTAAGTGCTGCCAAGACCCAGGGAACTTGCATCACCTGAGGAGGCGTAGCCTCTTGTGAAAGCCAAAATAACCACATGGTTTCCTTTTGGAATGCCCTTTCTTTTTATTTTGTTCAGTGAAATTCTAAAAATGTGTGGTTTCCTTAAATTGGATAATGAATTTTAGCCAACTTTCATCTAAATTCTAAGTTGTCATTTCATCATCGAAGATAACTAAGGATCTTTGGAGAAGTAAAATGTGCTTTAGAGAAGTTTTAAAATAATTAATTGATTAGTGAGTATGAAGGAAAATGATTGGAGAAATAAATATGTTATTTGGGCACCAATGATGAAGATAAGCATTGGGAGGTATTATTTTTCTAAAAATAAACTATCCTAGTTTAGAAACTTAAGTTGAAAACCTTATATATCCCCCCAAGTGATTAAAATCAATTTGAAAGTAATAAAATTCTACTACAATATTGGGAGTAATTCAGTAGTTGAAGTGAAACTTATAGTCAGTGTAAGAGTCTGTTGATAATTAGAATACATAGTCATAATTCAGAGATTGGAATTCCCTACTATCGTTTCTAATTTCTCTAATGAAAGAAAGCAAATCCTCAGGCAGTATGTAGAATTATGTGTCTATATACTACTAAAGACTACGTTTTTGTTTGATTTTATTTAAGATTTTTTTCTACTTATGTTAATACAATATATTTTACCTAATGCTCCTGTTCTTTGACAATTCTGATATGCCTGAAGTGAAGTACGTCTCAAAGGCAGTTGGAAATACACAGCAGAGCACAGACATCTAGACCAGAGATGAGGGAGGACTTGAGAGTAACTCCATAAAGGTGGTAGTTGAAGTGGTGAGAGTGGAGTAGGCAGAGAAAAAGATCCTGGGTAGAGTTAACAGTGTTAGGTGGTATACACATTTAATTGGGAGGAGGAAGACAGAGCTTCTCATATATCCGATTCATAGGAGGAGAAAAGATCAAGACAATCAGGAAAAGAAGTCATATGTGGTACTTTAAACAATAAAGAATTTAAATTAAAAAAAAAGAAAGAAAGAAGATAATGTAAAGAAACACCACAAGACCGGAAAAAAAAGAAAATCAGGAAAGTAAAATTCTTTGGTTCCATGAGAACACAAATCTTGGTAATTTTGATTTCTTTAAAATGTAACTTAGTGAAGATTGTATATTTTTATTTCTTATTGGATTCCTTGAATAAGTATCATCACAGAAATGTATTATTTTTTTACTAGGCATATCAACATTTAAGATGTTTTAAAACTATACTTTATTCACTTAACAAATATTTATTAGTAATCATTTATGTGCCAGATTGTAGGTGTTGTAGGTGCTGTGAACAAAATAGACAGAAAAAAAACCCTTGCCCTTATGAAGCTTATTTTGCAGTAAAGAGAGATAGACAATAAATAGAATAAATTAGTAATATATAGAATAAATCACCAATATCTTATTTCTATATTAGTCATTAATAAGTATTAGGGAGCAAAGCAAAGGAGGAAGGACAGTGTATTAGTCAGCTTGGGTTAAGCAACAGGAATTCATTTCTTCAGAGTTCTGAAGGCTAGATATCCAATCCAGCATTAAGGTTCCAGCCATTTGATTTCTGGTGAGGTCTCTTCTGGCTGCAGACGGCTTGCTTCCCACTGTGTTCTTACATGGTGGAGAGAGTGAACATGCTGTGTCTCTTCCTCTTCTTATAAGGGCAGTAATCCTATCATGAGAGCCCCACCTCATCACCTCCTCTAACCCTGATCATCCCCCAAAGGCTCTACCTCCAAATACATTGGGGGTTAGGGTTTTAACATATGAATCTTTAACATATCTTTAACATATGGGGTGAGGGGGGGTGAAATACTTCAGTCCATAACAAGGATATAAAGTGTGAGCAGAGATGGCAGAAGGACTGGAAAAGCTTTTTGAAAGGGTGTTGATCAGAGAAAGTTTCACTGAGAAGATGTTACTTGAACAAAGGCTTGAAATAAGTGAAAGAGTCTTTGCCTGGGACTTGAGGGGCGTGGGGTGGGGTAAGAACCTCCCAGGTTAGGAAATAGCCAGTACAGTGCTCCGAGGCAGGAGTGAGTCTGGTGTGGTTGGGATGGAGTGAGCAAGGGAAAGTGAGGGTGCAGGCTTTCAAGCCCCTGTGAGGACTTCGCTTTTGTTCAGAGATAGGACCCCAGGGGCGGGTTTCAGCAGAGGATTGAAGGAGTACCAGGATCTGACCTACAAAGGATGCATCTATAGTTCCTACAAAATACTATAATCATAATTTTGGAGTATTTTAGTATAGAATAATGTTTAGAAACAGACTAGTTCTGTTTTTAAAAAAAATATTTTTATTGATTTCAGAGAGGAAGGGAGAGGGAGAAAGAGATAGAAACATCAGTGATGAGAGAGAATCATTGATCGGCTGCCTCCTGCATGCCCCCTACTGGGGATCGAGCCCACAACCTGGTCATGTGCCCTGACTGGAAATCAAACACTGACCTCCTGGTTCATAGATCCATGCTCGATCACTGAGCCACTCCAGCCAGGGAAACACATAGCCCACATATTGTGGTTACCATAACAACTTGGGTGAAAGATTGAAGAACAGATGTTATATCAACCTGTTGATGTTTAGTAGTATGACAGTTTTAAAATTATAGTTACACTGTTCAGAATTTAAAATTGTATAAACCATAAGTTGTCCTTAAAAGAAATACTTTCTATAAGGATTGTTATAAATATTTACATGTTGTAAATATGAATATATTTATATGTGAATATTTGTATGTGAATAAGGGAAATTGTATGATAACCCAGGGTG